AAAACTGTTCATGATGTTTTCGGAAAGAGTATAAAACAACTTATTTGTCTGGAGCAAATATAAAAAAATAGGTCTGCAATAATATTAAAAGAAACTGTTTAAAAATCTTCCGACAAATTTGATAAAAGGTAAGTCTACCATTTTACGCGCTTTTTTGCACGCGCTAAAGCCGCAAATTTTTCCAATGGTACAATGCACTGATTTCCAGCGCCCTTTTTCAGCGTGGGTCAGAAATTTCCTCGCTTCTATGTTCTGCATTTATTATAATGCAAACGAAAAAACTGTCTTTATAAAGGGCTTTTTATACTAAATGCCCCAGGGGATGAAAAAATGTGTTTTCCGCTAAAATATGCGACGTATTAGTCAGGGATTGGTTCCAGTTTGTAATCTATATTCATCACAACTTGTAGCATGTGCGTCAAACCAAACAGTTCGTGGATGTGTAAAGACGTGGATTCATCTCCTCCTGTCCGGCGCTGTTTCCCAAGTTCTTACCCTTGAAGAAGACAAAACAAAAACATTGAAACCTTCAAATCAATGGTGAGTAAATATATGTGATTTCAGCCTTTTAGTTGCTCCTGTGCCAAACAGAAATAATTCACCTCTATTGCCTGAGCTTTCGCGTTCCTTGGTTACGTCGTTCGTTTGTTGTATAGCTAGTTGTTGTTCGCGCCGCTTCGATATTAAACAAACCACTCGTAGTTTTTAGGAACATTTAGGAACATAGAGAATTAAGAAATGCTTTTCCGTAATTCAGGATGAGATTTGTACACTTCTTTCGCGTTGCAATGTAATTTGTGAGAGCAAAGTTTCAAACATGACCGTTACCACGTGTAGCTTCTGAATTGCTTGTTCTCTTCTGCCCTTGCAACAATAGAATTCTTTTCATATTAGATAAAAATTGATGAAGACTCCCATTTCTGAGGAGATCAACGTGAACAGAGTCAATTGTAGAAAAATATTTTTATCGAGTTACTGTCGTCGAACAACAAGCATAATTTTAGCAGAGAGCAATACCTTATTTTCCAAAATGATTTTCACAGTTTTGTATCTTTTGTAATGTGTGGATATTACAGTAGTCTTGGTTTTACGCTCTGCTGGTATGACCTAACGTTATTATTTCTCTTTTCCATTTAGGGAGAATAAATGGCCGAAAGGAAGAAATGAAGATCGAATCTCGTCGTGAAAACTTGGTGGATCATTCAGTGTGAAAGAAGACAAGATAAGAATTTCTGATTGAATTTCTGATTGAAATGGTGGCAATATATTCGAGACTCGAATTATTTCAATTATTAGTTTCAAACATTTTCGCTTTCTTTAAGTTAGAATAAGACATTGCTCGCTTTTGTTTTTGAAAACCATGTACGTCATTTTCACTAGCTCGTTCGTCGAGGGAAAAGTTGCTGGCGTTTTAGACTCAAGCTAGGTTGAGTACTTGAATATAATTGCCACGTATTTCTTTATTGCAAGTGGAGTTTTCACTTCGTTTTCTAAGTGGCTTTCCCAAAAGAAAAATTTCAATTCTTAACAGTCAAATGATCACAAAAGCAAGGCATGGGCGTACACTCTTTAAAAATTAAAAAACAAGAGGGTCTATGGTTAGAGGGTAAACAAGGCGGGGGAA